AGTTCCCTAAAACCTTCGATGAACCTCTGAAACCCTTCTGAACACATCTAACCAAATACAGAAACAGTCTTATCAAATAACAGACACATTCAATGAGCTGCCGTAGAGGAACTGCTGAAATCATTTCATTCTTCAATATTAAACTCTGTATTCAAACACTCAAGTGTCACTGTGTTTACTGAATAATATCAAACTCACTTCACAAATGTGTTACACTGAAATAAATTAACAGAAATATTCCTCATTATTACAAATCTTTAAATATAAAAGTTTTTTTAAAGTGAAATTTTGATTTCAAAAATCGAATTTTACGATTTTATCGACTTCAATGACTGAATGAGATTTTTTTTTATGAAATGTCATACAAAAGCAAAAGGTTTGTGTTTGTCACATTTGTTTTTCTTCTAAAGTTACTGTAAGCCCCATCAGAACTGGGTTGCGGTGCAGGGGCACGGGACTAACGACAGATCATTGCAGTGTATCAGTCATGTACATCGTCAGATCAGGTTTTTTAACTTATTAGAGGTACAGGACGCCACACAGCAACTTTTCGGCATTGCACAAAGCAAAAATCAATCGAAATCATCACAAAAAGTAAAGATCAAGTGCCTAACAAGGTCTCCACGCGTTAATTCGAATGGTTTGTTTTCCCCCTCGGCATAAACGGTTATGATGTTTTTGTGGGCGTTCCCAGCAATGCCGAACAAGTCTATGAGGATTAGGCTAATCATCCCATATAGAAAACATCACAAGTAAAATTAATCATGTTTATAAAGATAAACATGGGTTTATTATAGCCCACTTACAATTTACATTTCAGAGATAATTACAAATAAATTATTAAATGCTAAAACGGAATACATTTAAATTAACAAACTTGGCGTTGCATTTGCAACCATGTGAAAACGGGGTGCTGCAGCCCCCTCAGCACCCCTCCGCGTCCCTGGGTTTGGTGATTTAAACAAATATTTAACCATAGTTCACTGCCACATTTGTGCCAGCACCTCCCACAATTCTTCAGGTCATGTGATCTTAACTTTAAAAGTGCAGCACTGTCGTTCTGGGAGTCAGACTGGCTGATTAACACTCCTCTGCACTGATCATCAGCACACTGCAGTAATGTCAATGCCTGGAGGCTGGATCCCCCTTGAGCTGGTCACTCAAGAGGTGAAAAAGATGTGCCTTGAGGTATGAGACACAAAATCGCTCCTAGATTAAACACACTGTCTGTTACTAGTGAGCTGTTTTGGTGCTGTAATATTGTTTGCACAAAATTATTTATTTGTTTGTTTTGTTTTAGTTCAATTTACATTTTTTATGTCCTTGTAGCACAATATGAATGATATATGCAAGTGCCTATTTATGCAATAAATTCAGATTTAATAACATACAGATAAATAATTGCTCTTGATTAATCCTTTATTGAAAACTCTTAACTCATCAAAAGTGATGTACAATATTCAAAATACCGCATTTATTATTAGTTCATGTTTACTACTGTAGTTAACTCCTAACTGTTAAAAAATGATCCTTATTGTAACCATAATAATAATGTTTCTCTCTTTATTCAGGTGAGGCCAAAGATAGAGAAGATGGTTGGAACTAATTTTAAGATTTACATTCCTCTGGTCTATTCTTCTCAGGTTGTGGCAGGAATAAATTACAAGTTCAAGGTAAATGAATGTTTTTGTTCGTTTGTATTTTTTATGGATTTTGAGCTTGTGAAACTCAAGGTAGAACTTGCATGCCACCTAATATCAACTAGTCAACTGTTTGTCCTAACCAGGTGTGATGTGTCAAGTAATTTGTCCATCCTCACTGAAAGTTAAAATGCATCAAGTCAAGCTTCTTGCATTTGCATAAGATAAAACTTTTCTCAACATTGTAGCATTGCTGGACATGCCCAAATGTAGTCGAACTTGTAAAGTGTTTGTCTACATTAAACTAGTTCATTTTTCTCTCTCTGTCAGGTGTTGGTTGATGTCGATGGGGATGGAGTGTGTGTTCACGCATTGATATTTCAGGCTCTTCCCTGTTATGGAGGGGAACGGAGTGTGACTGAAATCCAGTACCCCAAATCCATTGATGACCCGCTGATCCCTTCTAAACACTTACAGAAATAGTATTTATCTAATAACAGACACATGCAATGAGCTGCCATACTGTATAGAGGAACAATTGAAATCATTTCATTCCTCAATATTAAACTCCATAATCAAATCCTCCAGTGTCAGTTTGTTTACTGAACAATGTCAAACTCACTCAAATGTTTTATGCTGAAATAACTGAACATAAATATTCCTCATTATTACAAATCTTTAAATATAAATTTAAAGAATTTTAAAAAAGTTAAATTAAATTATAAAATTTTAAGATTTTATTGACTTCAATGACTAAATACTTTTTTTTTTTAATAACTCAAACTGAAATATATATTTATGAAATATATATGCTACAATTTCAAGCAGCCGATGTTCCACATACAGGCTTCTATAGGCAAAGGCTAATTTGCAGCCCCAGTCCCTGGTTAGGCTTTTTTATACAACAATAAAGCTATAATCATACCAAAAAACTAAACAAGAATTAAAATATAAAAATAATGCAAGAAAGCTGGGACTGTGTACGACCACCAGTGTTCATAAACCTGTTTTTGTTTGAACCAGTTTTTTACATTTATTTGAAATATGTTCAACTCTGTTTGCCTTTTCAGTTTAACCGGCAGGCTGTTCCAAAGCAGTGTACCTTGAACTGAAAATGTAGATTGTGCAAATTTAGTTTTTTTTTTTTTTTGGTACTGTGCAGTTCTGATTGGTTGCACCTCTTGTAGTGATCCCTGTACTACTCTGTTTAGTTATTAATTTGCATATAATTTCTGAAGCAAGATTAATTACTCATTTAAAAAACATTTTAATAAGAGACACATTTATAACATTTTCAAAACTAAGCAAACTATATTTTTGTAAAATATTCCAATAATGCCATCTAATTGGTTTCTTTGACTTCAAATTTTTGATTAAATAGAGATAACTGTTTTGATAGTCAGTTGAAAAACCTGACTCCAGACAATCATACAATATAAGATAAGTGTGAAAAGACCATTGCATGCATATAACTTAGCTACTTTTAGAGATACAGTATATACGGTCTAATCATATAAAAACAATTCAAGTTTGTTCTGATTGTTCTACACAGTCTCTTTACATGCACATCAAATTTTAATTGAGAATCTAAAAAAAACACCTAAATATTTAAAATAACTCACTGTCTCTATTGCTTTTTGATTGATCTTAATTATAAAACCATTCTTTTCCTTCCTTCTAACTGAAAAACACATTGAGATGGTTTTTGAACAATTCAAGGTCAAACAGTTATTTTGCAGCCACTGTGACACACCAGTCATTTCATTTGTTAATATATCTGCAACTAATCGTGGAGTTTGTGCAGATACATACATGACTGTGTCATCTGCATATAAATGGCATTTAGTTTCCATACAACAATTTGGTAAATCATTGACATATAAAGAAAACAACAGTGGACCTAAAATTGACCCTTGAGGGAGACCCATCTCATTGTTTTGTAAAAATTATTGAATTATTTATTTTAACACACTGATCTTGTGATTCTAAATATGATCTAAACCAATTCATTGCCTGCTGAGAGAAACTAAACAGCTTTAATTTATGCTGGAGTATTTTGTGATTCACAGGATCAAATGCTTTTTTGAGATCTAAAAATACCACGCCTACATAAAGCTCCCTTAATCAATTCTGTGAGAAAGTTTGCCATTTCTGTTGAATATTTAGGCCTAAAACCAACGTTTTTAGAGTGAAGTAGATAATTTTTTAACCCTTGTTCAGCTACCAACTTTTTCAAAAAAAATTTAATTACAGGAAGTACAGAAATTGGTCTATAATTCTGAACCTCATCAGCTAATCCTTCCTTAAAAATAAAAAAACTGTTTTCTATTGTAATATATTTTAAAATATAACTTGTTCCTGTGATGCAAAGCTGAATTTTCAACTGCCATTACTCTTTATTTACTGTTATACCTTCAGGAACAGGAACTTGCTAAATAAAGTTAAATATTAAGTAGGCTAGATAAATACTGTACATTGTACTGTACAACTATTGCACTGGTCATTAAACAAAGATAAAAAAAAAGATATTTTAAAAGTTAATTTATCAAGCTTTTGTTTCATTTGAGGTGAGGTGTTTAACTGGAATTAAATCAATTTATGAACCGAACGACCCAACTGAAGTTCAAGTGTACCGTTATTATGAGTCACATCTGTAAGCATAAGTCTGTATATTCATTTACTACAATTTATTGCACGATTACGTGGATGGGTGAGAGAATATGATCTTTTAAAAAAAAAAACGTAAAACCCAAAGAACTACGCCGGCATGAATTTTTACTCTGGAAATTTCTGCTGCTGGAGTTTCAGATTAGTCAAGTTTATTTGCATAATGCTATAGGCCTACAGAAAATCATGATGTTGATGCTTGTAATATAAGATAAGATATATATATTATAATATTTGCTCATATCTTAATACCTTATTGCATTTAGCAGATTAGTATTATTACTGGAGTCTATTTAAGTTGTTGTTTTATGTTGGTGCAGCAGTCGTTCGTGAGGGGCTGCCGCTGTACTTTCGTTGTTGTTTATTTTATTATTAAATTTATGTTACATCTGCCAGTTCCCGCCTCCTTCTTCCCCGAACTACGAACTTTCGTACAATAAATAACAAAAGAACACAAATAATTTAGAAGGTAAGTTGAAGTAGATGATGCATAAAAAAAAATGTTGTATAGGCCTATATATAATTTTTTATCTTAAAATTACAGACTTTTTATTTTCAAACTCTGTATGGGTCACTGCTTATTTGAACATGCGTTTAACCAAAATAAAAATTTTGGGAAAAATAATTGTTCTTGGATAATAATAATGACTGTCCCATTAAAATCTTAAAATCATTGAAGACAATTATTGCATATATACAGTTGAGCTCATAAGTTTACATATCCCTTGCAGAATATGGAAAATGTTAGGCTTAATCATTTTACAAAATAAGAGTTAATAATTTTACAAAATTATCATTTATAATAATAAAATACAATCAGGTGGTGAACCTGCAAGCACTGCCCTCCAAGGAGGCAGATCCAGCCTTGGTGTTGCTGTGACCCGTAAGAGCGCTGTGCATATACATGGACCGCTCCCGGAGCTTTAGAAGCTCTGAGCAGCTCTTTGTCTGCTACGGAGGTCAGCAGAAAGGGAAGACTGTCTCCAAGCAAAGGTTTGCCCACTGTATAGTGGATGCCATCTCCTTGGTGTACCAATCCCAAGGCGAGCCGTGCCCCCTGGGGGTGAGGGCTCACTCCACACGGAGTGTTGCCACCTCCTATGCGTTGGCGCACGGCGCCTCTCTGGCAGACATCTGTAGAGCTGCGCGCTGGGCGACACCGAACACCTTCGTGAGAGTTTACACTCTCCGCGTTGAGCCAGTTTCTTCCCGTGTGCTGGGTAACAGGTAAGTGGCGGTAAGAGCTGGCCGGTGTCACGCTTGCTGCGCCATTCCCCCTCACCTGGGGATGCGAGCGCCTTTTTCCTCCTCCATTAAGTTCCCCGGACAGCGAACCCTGGTCGAGTATCCTCCAGCACCCCCGGCAGTCAGACTGGGTGGAGCAGTCTGATGCCAGGCCCGGTATTGGCGTTAGCTTGCCCGGATCTCCGGTCAGCCCCTATACTGGGCTAGGTGTCCATATGGCTTGATTCCCTGCGGGCAATCCCATATATGTATTCTTCCACGGTAAGGTTCCCCTCTCGGTGAGCCCATGTCTTCTCTTTGACAGATCACTCTGTCAGTCTCTGCTGGCAGTCGTTCCATGCCTACTCTCAGGTAGGACCCATTCCATATATAGTACTGCCCCAGGCCTGGGTCAGTCCATATCAGTGTCTCCACATGATACCTCCCTACAGGTAGAATGTGGCCTCCGTAGCGCCATTCTCCGGAAGGCACGCTTCCCCACCATTACTGCCGAGTTGTGACAACAAATAGAAAGGACTTGAAGAAAATCTTTAATTGAAGGTGGAAATCCCTTCTGTTAAAAAAATTCTGTGGTAAAAGGAACAGCGGCTTGGCTATCACCAGCAGCGTTATACTCCTCTCAGTGAATTTGCACTGGGGCGTTGGGAAGGTTACGACCTTGCGTGGCATTTGTCTGACACGTGGATGCTTGTCAACATTTGCGATGCCTTAGGGTTGTGACGGGGTTCAGGTTGTGGCGCTTTCCATGGACCCCTTATGTCGTCACAACATAACTCGTAGTGACCGACAAGATAGGGAACGTCTCGGTTACGTACGTAACCCTTGTTCCCTGATGGAGGGAACGGAGACGTTATGTCCCCATGCCACAACCTCGAACCATCGCTGGCGGCCAGGGACAAGTTCTCGGCTCCTCAGCGTAAAACCTGAAGAGTGGATGCACCTGTCGCCTATTTATATCCGTATGCCAGGGGACTGGCTCAGGTATGCAAAATCCTCTAGCCAAATTCTATTGCCGTTTTCTCTTAAAGTCAGAGATGATTGGGGCTCCCAAGTGAATGCCCTAATGTCGTCACGACATAACATCTCTGTTCCCTCCATCAGGGAACGAGGGTTATGTACGTAACCGAGACGTTATTATTTGTCTTGTGGAGTATATGTAAACGTGTTAAATAGCTTATTCAGGACAGTACTAAATAAAAAAATAATATGCAATTTTCGTGATCCCTCTTATTTTGTTTCAATTATTAACATTCTGCAAGGGGTATGTAAACTTATGAGCACAACTGTAAATCCCAAATGAATAATTTTTAATACTTACATTTAGGTCAAATGTGCATGATTTGATCGCTTTTTATACATTTACTATAAAGAGGAAGTAAAAGTGTCTGGGTAGGGGAAATGAAAATAGTAAGAATTAGACATATTTTAGCCATTTTAGTTTTTCAAAACTCATAAACTTTAGAAAAAAGCATTTAAAAAATAATCTGGTCAGTTTTTGAAGGCATTGGTATTTTTCTTTGCTTTTGATATTCCAGAATCATGTGCATGTGGTTGGTTAAAATAAATATTTTAAATTAATATTTCTTTTATAGTGTGAAATATGCAATGTAGTCATGAAATATTTGCATGGTTATGACTAAAGTTCTCTTGAAT